ACCAGACTAGACCGGTTGGTCAGGTCAAGAACCAGGCTTGAAATTGTCTGGTTTTATTGCTGAACGGGTCAACTAGTCAAAATTGGTCTAAACCCAATTGTTCGAACTGGCCAGTTCAGATCGATTTTGACTGGGTTTTTTTTTTTTTTTGTGTTACTTTTACTTTCTTCATTTTTTCTGGCAGCTTTGATCGATTTGGGCTGGACTAGGGAGCCAACAAGCCAAGCTAGCTAGGTTCTGCCTGTAATGACCCAGGCTCGAACAATATTTTTGGCTCAACAAGGCATGCCAAACTGAGCCCACTAGCTTCTTTACTAAAGAAGCCACGGTCAAGCTAGACAGGCTTGTCTTGAGCTCAAGTTGTGCTTCTTTAATATGTGTGTGTGTGTGTGAGTGGGATCTCACTTTTATATGCCAGCTAATGTACGAAGTAGTGTATCCAACAGCCCAGATTCAATGACATATTGGATGGCCACAATCACATGTATTTGAATTTTATTTTATTTTCCAAATCCCATTCTGAACCACATAATGAAGATCTGATGGCTCTCATTCCACCTATATTACCATTCATTATAGCTAGCCAGCTATTGTAAGGTTTACTCATATATATATATATAATTGTATACTTTGAGACCATTTATCTTTACTACAAGGAGGTCACAATTGCTACTACTCATTAGGTATCAAATTGGATGGTTTGAGGTATTTCACAAAGTTCAGGAAATTTTTTTGAACTGAGTATATTTTTCCTATATATATATGTATGTATGCATATGCACACACCCTCTAAAATGGGAACTCAAAAAGTCACATTATATACTGCGCTATTCATTTTTTTCATGGGTGAGTATTGCCCTGTTCATGTGCTTGTGCTTGCCTTGCTTATGTCTTGACCTGGAATGTTTATGGGCTTGTTCGAGTAGACAAGTCAAGTCAAACCAAGCACAAGGTAGTCCTCGACCCATGCTTGGCTTGCCTTGTGGCACTCTTTACTGAATCGGTGGATTCAACGTATTGATGACCTATTTAATCTGGATAATATTGTTGCAAACATGACTAAGGACTCGCCTGAGTTGACTGTGTCAGGTTGATGCTCAGTTGGCTGAGCCTCAGGTGGATGTGGTCTGAGTCTTTTGAGAATTGGCCTTGTCTAAACAACTCAACTTGGATCAGGATGATACAGAATCCCGATCTAAGTCAGTGTTCTTCAACTGCTTAAAGAGTGCTCGATGTGTGTCAGGCAGTGCTAGATTCTTCAGATCATTGTTTATCCTCTTAATCTATTTAAACATATAATATTTAAACATAACGCTTTCTGATTATCTATTTCTTGCAGATTGCAGTTTATGATGGTGAGTGCCTCGGTGAGGGTAAGTGAACTTACAGAAGCATCTTTGTTCTGTATGATATCCATTTGTTCTTTGGTTAAAAAATAGTGCAATAATGATTAGATTTTGAAAACTTGAACTTTTCTAATCTTTTCAATAATTAAAACCTGATAACTGTTTTATGGAACAAATGTTACCTAAGCAAATTTGACATTCTGGAGAGTCGCTAAAATGGATCATCCTGCTGAATCCTTCGATTTTTCTAAATTAGACCATACTCAAATCTCAAGAAAGTTCTTATAAATGTAAATGTGGATTGGAACCATCTTAATTGTCTATGATGGTTTTCTGGTAACTTTGAGACCCTCTTCATTTTGTACTTCTTTAACTGAAACCTCAAGATGGAATATGATTGTTGATTGCAGAGGGGGCAGATAAACCGGAAAGCAAAGGTCCAGATGTTAAGAAACCTGCTAAAAAGAAAGCTGTAAATTCCAAGAGGAAGAAATTCATGGATGACTCTAAATCAGAAAATGAAGAGAATGAAGAGAATGAAGAGGGTGATGCAAACGGCTCAGTTAAGAAAAAACAAAGGGGACGAAAAGTGAAAGCTGCATCAGGCCGAGGCAGGGGCAAGGCTGCCGGTAAGAGCCCAACAGAGTCAAAGGGAAGCTCAGGGCGAGGCCAAGGTCGGGTAAAAACAGGGAAAATAGGAAGGCCTAGAAAATGATGGCCAATCTCACAAACTTTGTTCTTTGTTGGCCCATTTTTGCACTTTGGGAAATGATCGTCATTTAGTTGCAATTTTCTTTGTTTCTTGGATGTTATTTATGTCTTGTTTGATTTGGCTTCTCAGGTTGTGTTCCATGAGAGTTAATTGGAATTGGGACTGGGTGGATTTGAACTTAGGAGGGCTCAGAGTTCTTCACGTTTTAGTTCAAAAAATTCTCATTGTTTGCGCTAAATGGCGTAAAATCTATGCACTTATGTTTTTCAGCTTATATCAATTAATCTGGATTGTTTATGGAATGTGACAGTTTGTTTACTTGCTAAGCAATGGCTAAAGAATGAGGTTTTCCACCAAGCTTGCAATCTGACGTGGGATTCAGATGCCATTCACATTCCATCCTTTTTTAGCCACTAAGCTACAAATACGTTCTCCATTTGGTATGTAAATAAAGCTGTCATGATTATTAATTTTGAACTTCACCTAAACCTAAAGTGATCAATGATGTGTTAATATTGTTGTAATGATTTTGTAGATTTTAATTTGAACTAGAGAGCCAATGACAATTTGTACATAAATTTATGACAATTTGTACATAAATTTTGATCATAAATAGAAGTTATGACAATTTGTACATAAATTTTGATGATAACTAGAAGTTAACAAACATCTTTCTCCATAAGTAACAAATCCTTAGAAATTAGAATTCTTCTCATCTGATATATCTATTGTTAATTCCAATGATTTAAAAGTCGGTGAGTCAAACCGGACTCGTTCGATTCGATTCGGGAACCGGCAGACTCCATGTCGGTTCCAGTGAAATATTGGAAATCGTTCGGTTCTAAAGAACCGGTGATTTTATGCTGTAAATCGTCATGGGACGTCATGATTCTCTCGATTCATGATGTCATGGCTTGCCGATTTTTCAAGGGCATCTTTGTAAATTTTAAAAAGTACATGAACTTTAAGGTCTACATTTCGTCACGTGACTCTCCTCACATAATACGTGTTATTCTCGTTAACTACAACTTCTTTTTATCTCTTCGATGTGGGATAATGTGAAGATATTAATTTGAAACATTAATATATTATATATTTTGTTTACGCTTTTAATACTACTAAGTAGTATGTGGTTTATTGGTTATAACTTTTTTTTTTGCATGTGGAGGGCGTGGGTTCGATTTTTCTTTAAGACGAAAGGGGGTTCCTCTTATCAATTATTTTTCTTGTCAATTTTATTTTTTTGAGGTCAAATCTTTTTTATAAATATTTTTTTTGTCAATTTTATTTTTTTGAGGTCAAGTTTTTTTCTTATAAAAAAAATGAAAAGTTTTTTTTATCAATTTTGCTTTTTGTT